CAGGGGGTTGGTGTCCCTCTTTAATGGCCATAACCAGCCTCAGCTCTGTCCCAAACCAGCTGAAGCCACATCAGGGCAGCTCAGGGCACCTTTTGGTTTTGCCCGTTGGTGAAAAGTCGCAGGCAGAGCCGTAGCTCAGTTCCTGAAGTCACGGTCAAACATTCAACATCCCGTCATGAATCGCCTGTTCCCCATTAAATAACGAAATTGCTCACGGTTTCTCACAGAGCCATTTTCATTCACCGCAGGCTGGTTTTCATTTGTTTGGCAGCTGTTAGCGCTGTGCTTTGGGAAGATGAGACGGTGAACCACCACCCGGGGATGAAAATGTTCAGGCATTTGGAAGTGCTTTACCAAGGTCACGTAAATAACGTGAGGTGGGAAAGTAAAATATCAAGTTAGCAGGGATGTAACTAGTGCTTAGTGTTTCAGCATTTTGCCTGTGATCTTGCTATAAATGATACCTGGAAGTAGAAACTCCCTCTCGTAGCCACAGAGCTGCTTCTTTGTAAATGAGCACGGTGCAGAGACATCGTGTGTCCTCTGACTGTGCTGCTCAAGCCACTTAAAAACATGGTCAGTAAAAAAAGAGCGTATATATGTTGGGAGGAGTGGGGGGTGAGGCGTAGCGTTGTTCATCGGCAAATAAACACAGAAACTCGGGCTTCGAGGGTGAAATTTGGAACATGTTTTGGCTCTGAATGGGGCAAAGGTTTGCCCCGGGTCAGCCCACTGTCAACGTTCATATGTGGAGCTGTCTTCTGCCCCCAAATCATGGCGGTTTGGATCATCTTTTTAAAATGGTCCAAAAGAGTTGAAATGGTTTAGAAATCCATCACCTGGGTATTTGACCCTTCTCAATGCAAACCAAGACGTACACATCTGACTCGCCCATGCTTTTCCCTGCGGGATCGCTTTGGACACACCAGTGTGGGGGGTCAGTGTCCTGCCCCAGGCTGAAATTTTCTTTCCTTAATTTCTGACACGACCAAAGTCCCCTCTGTGCTCCCCCTGCCTCCCTCCACATCTTAATGTTTCCTTTTCCCTGTAATAAGGAATGTGAATGATGACAGAGGTGGTTTCCTACTGTGTAGGGAGGACCCAGTGCAGCTGCTCTCAGACTTCTCTGAAAATGGAAACTAAAAATAAAATGAAAAAAAAAAATCACTATGTTCTTTTTGGGGGCCAAATTAGAGGCATCCAGGTCCCACTGAAACAGGAGACACAGCTCCAGTTACTCCTCTCGGAGCTGAAGGAAATGGCCAGAACTGGACACAGTGAGGTGCGGTGATTCGGTGACCGCTGGGTCGGGGGCGAGGGGCTCGTGCCCCCGTCCCTGCTGCTCCATCCCTTCCCCATGCCAGCCACCGCCATGCCAGCCACTTCGCCCCGGGGCTTGAGTTTGCAGCTCCCTGTCAAGCGACTTGGGCAAATACTTCAAAAGTCAGATGTCCTTACTCTATTTAAGCAACAGACTTAATCTGATATATTTATATCTGTAACAGTTTGGAGGTGTGGTGGTGGTTTTTTTTTTCCCAAGATGATCCCTGGTGTTTTTCCCACAGGGTGTCTCTCTACGATTGCTCTCGTTACTTAGTGGTTGTTATTGTTAAGATCCCATCATCTGACCCTTTATAATCCCCATATTGCATTACATTGCATTGCTGGACATTCTTGGTGTATGCTACTGTTTGTCAATTTTAGACTGCTCCATCAAGCTTATGAGTTTCTTAAAAGTGATGCAAGGTTATGTTACACAGGCACATTCTCCGACTCATTCCAGTTAATGCCTTGGCATTTGGAAATGCCATGGATTGGTAATAAAGGGGAATAAATGTGTGGGTTTTATAAGCAAAAAAATGAAAGCCAACACTATAGAAATTGCTTTCAAGCTTTTGGCATCAGCATGTGTCCCATCAATTACCTTAAAAATAGAACACATTTTAGGCACTTGAAGCATGGTTTGATGGCCTGCTTCGCATCAAATGGTGACACGGGGGTTGGCCTCTCTTGATATTTGAGTTAAAAACTTGTCAACTCTTTTGCTTTCAAGAGAGATAGGTTGGAAGTTTTGAAGAAAATGCACGAATGAGAAAAACCAATGAAGTGAAACAATCCTGCACGAAAGCCTGCTGGGTTTCATGCAAAAGTTCATCCGTACGCGAGAACCTGCCTTAGAAGCAGCAAGTATGAATTGTTCATTACCAAGGGCAGACCTTTTCTTCTATCATTTTACTCCTAAAGTGCTTTTATTTAACACTTGTTAGGTACCTCCTTAGCATGAATTTTGAGCTGCTACCTGTAGGGATAGCTTTGTGATCACTGCAGGTACCTCTTGTCTTCTGCTTATGCTTTGAGCGTAGCTGCTGGCACAGCTCTCTGCCGTTTGGTAACAGAGCACCTCAGGCAGCAGCTTATTAGTCTGGGGATTCCCGAGCAAGTGTCAAATTGGTGTGAAAATAGTAAGTGGCACCAATGGAAGTGGCTTTCCTGTCTTGATGAAGGCTGAGGAATGAGTGATCATTTTGGAAATCTCCGAGGGGAATACCCACAAACATAATTGGGAAGAAGATGGGAGTTTTGCCTTGGAAAGACTTCTAGATTTGGCTGTGAGTGTGTCCCCAGCCTGGAGGGTTTGTTTGTTGCCTTAACGTGCCGTTTCCAGCACACCGAACCACTAAGCAACATGTTAGAGAAGGAAGCGAATCCTGTACTCGAGGTAATTTATGGAGGAGACCTAAAGTAGGCAAAATGCGATACCCACCTTGGAAATCTGTGGGATTAGCACCTGTGTCACCAGGAGAGGTGTCACCGGGCAGCCCTTCACTCTGCATCTGACGGAGAAGGCATCACTCCCAGAAGTATAGTGTTTCCTAATGGAGGTATCAAGTGATATATTTCTATTTAGAAGAAAACTCGCTTTTCAAATACCTGATCGTGTTCTCAGTATCCCTGTTTTCCTTCTTGAGAGGTCTTCATGGGATTGACCCTACTTAACTTAGTAGATCTGACAAGACCATGGCCCAAGATGGCCTGGCTGAAGATCATGGAAATACAAGAAGGTGGCCAGGGGCTTTATTTACAGTCAAGAAATTAGCAAGCGATAAGTAACCACTGAATAGACGGCTTCTGTGACCCAAACAGCATCGTTGGGGAGAATAACATACCAGCTACTGAAGAGCATTGATTTATTTGATAACATCAGGAAACCATTTATGGACTCTATTATGGACAGCAATCGCTGGGGGTTAAAACTGCTAGACCAGATAGATTGATGTGTGGGTCTGCTGTTGTGCTTGCTACTGCATAATATAAAATAAGGATGTACCCTGAAATACCAAAGGGGCAAACAGAGCCATTACATTCTTGGCTTGGGTTTTTGTTATTTTTTCCTTTACCGCTTATTTCATTCTTAAATTTTTGCCCTCTTCCCCACTGTGTAACAGCATTAATTAAATGAGGACCTTTGGATAATGGCTTTTTAACAGAGGTTAACAGGGCTTTGAACACCATGTTTCTTGTTACAAAACACAGTAAAGAGACGCTATCATAATGCAGAGACTATTTTGATGCTGGCAGACTCCAGCAGAGTGTGGTTGAGATGTAGCGAGAAATAATGGCTCAAAAGTTGGTGGGGTTTGGTTTCACAGCCTCTCGTCTGTGGTTTCTTACCTATGAAAGACGCATTCGCAGTTGCAAGGTGAGGATTTGATTTGATACTCCCTGCAAAGAATATTTGAAATTATGAGAGGAAATCTTCCTAATCCAATGAACAGTCCAAACTGCCATGTACTGAAATTGCACTGTAGTGGTAAAATTACCCACCCACGCTACTCTGCTTTTACAAAGCAGCCATAAGAACAGTGGTGTTGGAGATACGGCTTTCTGGTTTACCATGTAAATTTAGAAGCCTATAAAATATTCTGAACAAAGAAGGAGGTACTTCTTAGCTGGAATCGACACTTAATGAAAAAAAGGATTTCAGGTAATCTTCGATACTTAGATCAGTTCTATGAATATTAGCAAAGTAGATCTTTGTAGTTGCTTACTAATTCTGTAAAAAAATGGTAAAAAGTAGGAAAAGGATGAACCTGAGATGAACTGTCAGCCAAGATCTGTTGACAGTACAAATAACATCCACGATAGAGACAGGCCAGTCAAGAAATTGGGCATTGGCATTGCCGCTGGGCAGACTGGATAGGAGCAGGACATGGGTGTGTTGTGGGAAATGCTATGGGGAAATGCTCCCTATGGGAACGTTCAAAGGGCTGGTGCCTGTCGCCGCGTGGAACCCCTGTCCCCAAGCACAAGGTGTGTGTTGTACCAGCTGTTCACCTGCCTTTTTCCATCTTGGAGGATTTTACCTTAACTAGGATCTGGCATTTGGGAGAGCTCATCGATCGCACGATGGCTGCGCTTGCACCAAAACCGCCCGCAATATTCAGTCAGGGTTTAGCCGTGGCTAAAGGCAGTGAAGAGCCTGCAGTCCCCAGCCCTTTTGAGATATCTGAGACATTACGGATACAGAGACCTGCCGCTGATTCTTCCCACGGTGCAGAATTTCACCGTCACGCCTCGCAGGTACCGTTAATGTCGCTCCACCCGCCTATGGCCATTCAGGCATGGGGTGAAGCACCGAAAGGCGTAGTGCCCCAGGAGTCCTCTAGAAAATGGCCGCATCCTGCCTTACTCAATGGGGGGATGCACCAGCTGCACTGAAATGTCAGAAGGGTTTGCGCAGCTGACAGGTTGCTGAAAATGGAGCATGGCAGCATCGCCATAAATTCTCTTTATCCAGCCAAGTGCAGCTTAATATAGACTTAGCTGCACGGTCTGTCTCCGGCACTGAGACCGAGAGCTGCCACAGCTCATGACCAAAACGTGAAGTTGTGGATTTAACCGAATGAACTACTACTAGTGAGGGGGGGGGAGGAAATCTTTTAAAATTTATCTTTCTCTTTAGGTTTAAAACTTAATAGAGGAAGGAGAGAAGAACAAACATGTCTGAACTCAACCAAAACGCTGATGAAGAAGTGTGTCCTGAGGACATCGATGAAGATGAAATCCTGGCAAACCTGTCCCCCGAGGAGCTAAAGGAGCTGCAGTGTGAGATGGAAGTCATGGCCCCAGACCCCGAAGTCCCAACTGGGATGATACAGAGGGACCAGACGGAGAAACCTCCCACGGGGAGCTTCGACCACAGGTCCCTGGTTGACTACCTGTACTGGCAGAAGGCATCCAGACGCATGCTCGAGGACGAGCGAGTTCCCGTCACCCTCTTGCCCTCTGAGGTAACAAGCAACAAATCACAAATATTTATTATGCATCTGCTGTGGGATCTGTTTTATAGCTTTAATACCTTAACCTGTCTCTGCTTCTGTCCCTTACCTGAGGTATGGTACAAACAAATTTAAATTCATCCTAAAAGCCTCAGCAATGTCAGGATCCAGCTTGGACTGACGTCAGGATTAGTAATATTTTAATTGTTTTTCCTAAATATTTACTTAAGCTTTTTAATATAAGAATGTCATAATTCTGTTTCAGTAAAGCAAATCACTGAGAAATTGTCATAAAATCAGTTTGGAGGATGTGACTCAAATTTGTTTGACTTTGCATATGGAGCAACACCATGTTGCTTTTCCGTACATTAATCATATGTATTAAACTAATTGACAGAATTTAATGTCATACCGGACAAAACCCCAAAACACTGTATTTTAACGATGTGAAACATTTACTAACGACCAAGCATGCAAACTCCACGAACTAGTCCAACTCTCTTCAATACAGTACTTAAATTTATTCTACTATCACTATGACTTTGAAATAAAGTTAAGGTCATACTTAGATATTTTTCAGGATGAGGGCTACACTTAAAAATAAGTTAATAGAATGGAAACTTGGCCAGACGAACCACATCCATACCTGAACTTAAGTGAATTTTAGGTAACTGATTTTTAATTTTTTTTTTAAACACTAGTGGTTTTGCTAATACCCAACCGCACAGTCCATCGGGGCCTTCCCAGGGCAGGTTTCATGGGCTGCCCGTGGAGAGGGGAGGGAAATCTGTGGTTTTTTCCCTCCTGCAACACTCTTACCCTCAAAGAAACAATTTTTTTTAACGCTTCTGAGGTTAAATCTAGAATTTGAGTATAGAGGTGCCTGCTGCATTCACAACTGGTCAAGGGATCCCCATACTAAACCCATCTACTACCACAGCCCTGAGGGCAGAAGTGACTGTGGCCACTTTGTCTGGCTTTTGGTGAAGCACAAGCCACGACTCTGCCCTGCCTGAACTAGTGCCAGTCTTTTAGGAAAATATCTTGACCTTTATTAGCGCTTTATTAGCATTCCTCAGTGATGGAAAATCTACTTGCAAAAAGACGCTTGAAAAAAAATCTCAGCGAGGAGGGTCTCTGGAGATGGTGGAAGTTTGCAACGAGTTTTATTTTGATACTAGAAGCCCCACTGCCTTGCAACAGCTGTGTGCAGAGTCCAGTTTCCTATCTCTGGACTCGAAATAAAACTGAGATTTTGCTTTATCTTCAGCGACGTGCTTCCTTAGCTGTGATGCTCTGGCAGGTACCAGAGCAGGCAGCTTTGCTGTCTCATGTGCTGGATGACTCCGCTGTTGTTACTTACGACGTGCCCTCTTCACTCCTCCTTAGGCTGAGCAAACAGTCAGCAGTTAATACTGATTTCCAACGGTTTGTGGCATACAAAATAAACTTTCTCTCTTGTCAAGGAAACAATCAAAATTACACAAAATCCAGAAAGAGACTTTGGATCAGAGACTCTTAACCCCCAGAAGGGTTCAAGGACCACCTTAACATAGCATTAAATACATACAGAATTTAATTGTCAGGCTTGAATTTAATAGGCAAAGATGAGAAACTGGTTTGCAGGCACTTTAAGAGCAACCGTTCCTGGTTCCCAAGCAAGCCAGCACAGCCCTGACTTACAGGCAATGACACTTTTAAGGATTATTCTATAATGTATGGGCATAGAGGTATCTAAATCCAGCCGCTAACTGTTTATTTGAGCAGAAAGTTAATGTAAAAAAGCCACGTTCAATTATTTCAGCTGTGAGGTTTTGTCTTCCTCAGAGAAGTGCTGCGGAGGAGACGGAAGGAAAGGCCGGCGGCAGCGGCCAGGCAGCCGGCGGGAGGGTGTCAGGAGCAGAGGGAAAAGAGAGACATTACAAAAATGAGCACTTGTCCAACTCAGGAATGCAATTTGGGGAGACAAAGAAAGATGGAAGCCATAAGGAGAGAGAGGAGGAGGAGGATGAGAAAGAAGAAGCAGAGGAGGAAGAGGAGGAGGAAGAGGATGAAGGGGAAGATGAGACTAAATTGGAAACAAAGGAGACTTATACCAACGAGAACCGTCACAGTGATCAGACAAGTAAGAAACCAGGTACAGAATCAGGAGAAAGCACAGAAAAGCCAAACGGAAATGAAAAGAAAATATCAAAATTAAACATCCCCAAAAAGTTAGCACTGGATACCAGCTTCATGAAGCTAAGTGCCAGGCCTTCAGGAAATCAAACCAACTTAGAAGAGAGTTTGGAGAAAGTCCGAAAAAACAACCCAGACGTGAAAGAGCTCAACCTGAACAACATAGAAAACATCCCCAAAGAAATGCTGATAGACTTTGTCAATGCCATGAAAAAGAATAAGAACGTAAAAACGTTCAGCTTGGCCAACGTGGGGGCCGACGACAACGTGGCGTTCGCCCTGGCCAACATGCTGCGGGAGAACAGGAGCATCACCACGTTGAACATCGATTCCAATTTCATCTCTGGGAAAGGGATCGTTGCCATCGTGAGGTGCCTGCAGTACAATGAGACGCTGACGGAGCTCCGCTTCCACAACCAGCGGAGCATGCTGGGCCACCAGGCAGAAATGGAGATCGCCAGGCTGCTGAAAGCCAACCCCACCCTCCTTAAAATGGGGTACCACTTCGAGCTGCCGGGGCCCAGGATGGTGGTGACCAACCTGCTCAGCAGAAACCTGGACAAGCAGAGGCAAAAGAGGCAAGAGGAGCAGAGGCAGCAGCAAATGAAGGAGCAGAGGGAGTTGATAGCGATGCTGGAAAACGGACTTGGGTTGCCTCCTGGGATGTGGGAAATGTTGGGGGGACCGCTGCCCCAGCCGAGGATGCACGAACCTCCGCAAGCCCCGAAACCACCCGTCCCCGCGGCCGTGTCTCTGAGCAAAAGGCAGGAGAGCACGAGGCAGCCGGCCCCCGAGCAGCCCGTCAGCTTCAGAGTGGTGAAGCTGAAGAAGATTCAGCGCAAACCCGCCGTGCCGGCGTACGTGGAACCCCCCGAGAAAACCAACCTCAAAGACGTCATCAAAACGCTTAAACCGATTCCCAGGAGAAGGCCGCCGCCTCTCGTCGAAATAACCCCCAGAGATCAGCTACTAAACGACATTCGTCAGAGTAACGTCGCTTATCTTAAACCGGTAAGTGCTTCGCGGTGGCGGGGAGGGGAGGGAATCGCGTTCGCCCGGTGCCCCGGTGCCGTCGTTTGAAACGCCGGCCGTTCGGCGGGGTGCAGCCTCGCACGTCCCTGTCTGCGTCCGTAAAGCTAAAAGAAAGCGAATTCACTCAGGAGTCAAACAAAATCACAGAAACTCGGCGTCAGCGTAATGAGGAATGGCATATTAGTTACGATAGGCAAAGGCTATTATGTTTGCTTCGGGAGAGCAACAGGTATTATTTTTCGCATTAGTCTGTCTCCAGTCCCCCGTAAAAACCACGTGCTGTTTTTTTAACCGCGTTTTTTTACTTTTCAGTAGCTGTATTTTTCTTTAGCTCTCCCTTTCCCCAAGAAAGCACCATCGCTTGCCCCACTCGATAAAGGCTGAACTGAAACACGGGCAGCAACAGAACTTACCCAAGGTCACTTAAGAAACTGCACGGAGGCGGGAACTGGGTTTCCAGTAACACACTGGTCAGACTCCCCTGCCCCTGCGGTGGGTGCCCAGACCCCCGGGCTGGCCGGGGCGAGTAACCGCGCTCCTTCGGCGCTGCCGCACGCCCGCCGGGCCAAGGCTGCGGGAAGCGAGAAGCGCCTTTGGTTGGTCTGGTTTAAATGAAATTAAAAGCTTTAGCGCGAGGGGGAATTTAATATATTTTTTAAGAGTTATTTTCTTTCTGTAGAGTTACTTTCTGCAACAGCGATACTGCAAAAAACCCTTCCTGCAATATTTTTCCATGCGCTTGAGCCTTACATTTTGAATTCTAACAACAGGATGAATAAAAGATGCTTTTTCTCAGCTGCCTGAACATGTTAACGCATTTTTACAGTTGCCTAAAAACATTTCAGATAAAATAGTTGGTCCTCTAAAATACTGTTTGGTGGCAAAAGATACAAATTGTGTTGTGTTTTTTTTTTTTTTTACTATCATCAGGTTTAAAAAAAAAGTCAATAAGCTGATGAAAAGCAGGGAGGATCAGGGCCAAATTCACCCAGGGCACACAGATATGCCCACACTGACATCCAGCCTAGACACACAGCCTGCAGACTTGCTCCTGCCGGCCTCACCTGGTGACAAGGAGAGTATTTATTTTAGTGACCCTCTGCCACTTGATTTTGTTTTTTCCTATTTAAATCAACTGCAAAATTCTAGTGCTAATAGGAAAAAAAGAAATTAGACCCATTAGCAGTGAAGATGGATCAGGGTTATAGGAAGAAAGCAGTGATATCAAGGATTTTTTATATTCGTCTTCAAGTAAATCTCTGCCATTGAAAGTGCTCAGTGGTTGCAACTCAAGCGCAAATGTGAGCTTGACATCATCGTGGCTTTGAGAATCCAAGTCCCAAACTGTCATAATTGCCTCCTGGTGATGCTCTTACTCGGGTGCCAAATTCATGGGCCATTCAAAAATGCTGGCCACCAGAATTAACCTTTTGCTTTCCTGAAACGTTGTATTTCCTTGCATTGCACCGTTATTCAAGAAATACTAAAAGCTGACTGATCTATTTGTAGCTAGCGATGTTGATGCATCTGTTTGTGTTGCTAAGGCTAGAGGAAGAGGACAGAAAATCCATTGCAATTAAAAATGGTCTAGTAGTATTTTGTAATTAATATTTTGTTTAATGTTTACATTCTAATATAGTGGGCCACATCTTGCTTTCATCAATACCTACACAGAAATAATTATCCCTCAGTAATTCCAGAGAGAGTAGTTTGTCCTGAAATTTTGGCAGGGGCAGATCCTGCAGTGACCTCTGACCCTGGTCCAGGTTTAATGTGACCATTGTGTCCCCAAACCAAGTTTTGGGGTTGTGGGTTTCTGCTGGCCAGTCCGACTTGGCTGCAGCCAGGGCCTCTCCTCAGGACATTTCTGGCCTTTCTAGGCCAGTCGAGGTTTTGCGTTTCAGTGCCACGTCTAAGACGACAAGACCTGCTCTTGTAAAGGTCATGGTTTATCTGTATGTGCCAAGACGGTGCTTGTGACGGCAGGTTGCTCTGTCGCTGCCTCCTCTCCTCTCAGAAGGATGGAGGATGACGGTGCCGGTGCTCTGCCGGCCACAGCCCTTGTTTTGCGCAGCAATAATTAAGAAACCTGGGCGCTGCTGGGTGCCAGGAAGCAATAGTGAACCCCAGCCAATCCTCCCAAAATCCTCGGGAAGTTTTTTACAAATGAGGGCTGTGGGGTTTGGGGCGGAGGGTTCAATTCATGGTCCATCCTAAATGGGGCAGAAAACAACTGCTATCGCAGCCCATGGAAAGATGAAGCAATGGACACATGTGTTGGGATATTGGGGTTTCTTTTTGTTCGGTGGATTTTTTGGGGTGTTCTTTGGTTTTGGGTGTTTTTTTTGGTCCTCTGTTATGGGGCCACATGGTTTGGATTTGGGGCCTTAGGGTGTTATTCTCACCTGCCTGCGTGATCTTGGTAACTCATTTGCCTCAATATCCCCAGCTTCCTCTCTAAAATAGGGTTTTACTGCTTGAGCAGAGCTGGGCGTTTGTTCGCTCCATGGTGGGACTCACTGCTTGCAAATTTATTTACTGGGTGTTAAGCATTGCAAACAGCAAGTAATTGGGGAATTACAAACAAAATAAATTCTCAACCAGAGCTCCTTGGAGCTCCCTGCTGTTGTATTTTTGATCTTTTTACAGTTTCTGAAGGTTTCTATTAAATTAAAGGGGTTTGGGAAATAAGACAGAAATTCCTCCCTCCTAATACTTACTGTCCTTGTCCAGGTGCCATTGCCAAAGCAGCTGGAGTGAGAGACCAGGCTGACCCGAAGAAACAATTTGGAATTAAAAACTATTCAAGTTTTGCTTACAACTGTTTCAGCAGATGTTTTCTGCAGAACCCAGGTGGTATATACGACTCTTTGGGAACAAAGCTTGCGATACACACTTTTATAAGTGTGGTGAAAACGGCTGGCATGGGAAAAGTCAGTGCTAAGCGTTTCCATCAGGTATCAAACAATCCTGGTGCCATCTGTCTGCCAAGCGGATTTGAGACTCCAGTTTGTTGTGGGAGTATTTTCTCAGAGGCAACAATAACCTTGCCTTTCTAGTTTGTCAGCAAACTATTTTGCTTCCATGTTGTCCTTCTGCCGCCAGATTCTGCAGGAACATGCTGTGCTCTATCTTATCCTTCTTTTCACACACACGCTCCTTTATTATTCTCCTGTCCATGAGAAATGTATCTGGGTTTCCATGTATACAGCTTCATTTTTTAGGCTAAGGAAACAAATTAAATAAAGCGCTCTCTGTAAGATGTGTACAGCACTTCCATGGCTAACGAGACGCTCACAGAACAGAACGACTGCTCTGGTAGGTGGAACACCTCGGCTTGGTGGTTTCAAGCTACCTCTATTTCAGAACATAATCTAGTTGGTTTTGCACCTGATCAGCATATAAAAGGTGGTGCCATGCTTTGTTTTGAGAGCTGTAACCTTCATTTCCCATGATTCACCTCTGTCCATGATGTATTCCTTAATTACAGCCACCTTGGAGCGCACTGAAATGCCATTTCAGGTCTCTCTCCACACTGTTCTTGTGGCAGGAGGATGAACCTTAACCCTCTCCTTGCCAGCGGTTTAAGAAACTTATCGTTCCTCCTAGTAGGGGGTGTGAATAGCACGTCTCACCCCCTAGCAGGGCTGGATATGATGGGGTTAAACCTGCATATACTCAACTTAGTTTTTCTTTAATATTTTTGTGGAATTTTTTCTCCTCCCCTTTTTTAATCACAGTAGTTTTTTTGCTGCAAGCCTTTTTTGTAAAGCTGCTTCAGGTAAGTCACATTCTTGTGGAACACATCCACAAGGGACCAGTTGTTTTGGGGTTTTTTGTTTGGTTTTTAAAGTTATAAGGCATAGGGAAAGAAGAAGGCCTTTCTCTTTGCTAACATGCAGCTCCCCTGCCTTCCTGTGGCTGATAGACTTGCTCAAAAGGCACAGTTTTGCAGCTCCTGGCAGGAGTTCCTTCAGGTGAGTTTCTCCTTGCTCCTGCCTGTAATACGCACAGCAACAGGCCCCTGGCAGCTAAATCCCAGTCCCACCTCGCTCCCCCTTCCCACATTTATTATAATAGTCTGTGGTATCAGCAATGTCCAGGACCTCTTTGATTCCAAGGTAGTCTCCGCTATCATTAGTTCAAGTTTTCATTTATCCTTGTCCTTCCCATATCTATCATCTGGTCTCTTTCAAAGCTCTGTCTTCCAAACTTGTAAAGCTCCTTCTCACCTCTGCTTCTGTCTGCAACTGTAACGCTGCAGCCTTGGGAAACGCGGTTGATATATTGCCTAAGATGTAGCAAGTAGTTTTTAAGTATCATGTAAGGGGGAAGAGGAGAGCCATTTCTGCATGACAGAGACATAAAAAAGGAAGTAACATTTTCATTGTAACCATTTCATACAGCCCTCTCTTTTTGTAAAGGATAAAGTAGGAAAGGGAAGGAACTTGGTACTTCCAGCCAAGCCCTCACATAGAGCACAGCAGCAAATGACAAGTGTAAAAAAGCAACTCCCCCAGGAAGCTATTAGAGCACACTGCTCTCCATACTGGCTTCAAGGCCAAGCTAAGACAGGGAAATACAACGGAAAATGTAATCTAGAGCTTTACAACCTCCAACTCAAGCTGCCAAGCACAAATTACTGCTACACCCAGAAGCAGCCAGAGCAGCAGTGCTGCAGCTGCTGACACGTCTTACCAGGATATATACAGCAGGACCTGTGAAGCCCTGCTCTGATCCATGTTCTCCCACTGAGCAGCCTCTTCAGTGATCACAGGAGGAGGGAGGCAGCCAGATACAGAGATCACACCATTAGTTTGACTGCAGCAGAGCTGGCTTCCTAGTACTGCTCGAGGTACAGCTCCCAGTAATCCTAGGAGCAGAAATCCCTCTCAGGTAATTAAAAGAAATGGAAAATCCCAGTTAAGTAAAGTAGAGTTATACAAGACACTGAAACAGCATGAACAAACGCCTTAAGCACTACTCCACCTCTGCAGAGAAGCCTTTGTAAGGCTGCAAGAGCAAAGCCGTAACATTTCTGCAGCTCAGAGGCCCCTCGTGCCTCAACAAAGTTAAAACAGACACAGAGCATTCAAAACCAGCAGCTTCATCACAAGCATGGGCTTGCGGCAGGATCTGCAGGCTGACGGCAGATCTCCCACCCCCACTCTACGGGGTTCCACCAACCATAGAAACAGACAAGATCAAGTCTCCAACCGCTTTTCCCAACCTGAATAAATGCACTCAGTAGTGACCATTAGAATTTATTTTTCTTCATAACTCTCCAGTATTTTAAATTCTACAGTAATGAAGTCATAGGCCACTACGTTCTTTAAGCGTGGAAACAGTTTTCAAAAAACAAAGACCATGCGCTACAAGTGAGGAACAAGCCATTGACTCTTCAGCTGGAATATACAGACATTTTCAATAAATACTGATCACTTTAACACTTAAATGGAATGACATGTTCAGATTTCTACACAGTTCACTATGAAAACAGCATGGTTAAGTTACATAAAAGCTTCAACTTCAAGGATCCTTTGCTTTTTTGTTAAATTAATTACTTAGAAAAGCGAAATGCAAGAATATCTGAAATGGAGTATCACCTGGACAACTTTTCCCCCCCCTGTTGTTGGTAAGCTCTTGTTATCAAGATAATTCCATCAGAGCTGGCAGTTAAGTTAAAATATATATATAAAAGAATCCCCCACACCACTTTCAGGAGTTGTTACAGGCAAATATCTTCATGAATTTGGAATGGGTTTTCAAAAACTGCATCTTGACATTTATTGCTTTTACTTGTAAACCTGAAATCTAGTTTATTCCTTTGAAGAGTGTCAGAAGTACAGAGTCATTGAGACACATGTTGTACTTATAACTTTGCATTCTGGTTAAGAAGAAAGAAAAACATGACCCACGCTCAAGAACACACATACACCTCCATCTACAAAACAGCCTATACAGACTAAAGTAGAACAAGGTAAGTCCTAAAGTAGCAGTATTTAAAAAACATCAATAGGGTAGAATCCTTGCTCATCCAATGTATCTGAAAACTTTCTTTTCTCACATGCTCAGCCATAGCTTAGCTGGTATGCAAGGAATTTTGTCTCTCCTGCAGAGAGGAGCAGTTTCTATAGATCAAGAGTTTGGAGAGACCAAAGGTGCATTTTACTGGAACTGACAGAGGCACAGTGCCATATATAGTCTTCATGCTTAGATCTATTTAGACTGTTTCCCAGCTGCTAAAGGAGGAATGTGAGGTGAGGACAGGAACCCATATTCATTACAAGTACTGCACAGTTTTACTGCTTGCCAGTTAAGCTAGCAACGTGGTCCCAATACAGACCACTCAAGTGAGGGATTTGGAGGATGCAAGAGATACCTACTTTTGATACGTTCCAGCTCACCTTGAATATTGCCAGCCTGAAGGGGCTACTCAGCATAAACTGGCTAAACTGCCATCTTGTAGAACTGAGATGAAAGGGGTGTTACTTTTAATAGACAAATTTGCTACAAGATAGTTTGCATTCCATAGGTTTCCATCTCTTCCTCCTCTACCTCCCAGAAGAAGAGACAAGCAAACACATTTAAGTTAGTATGTATTTGTGTAAACACCAGTAGATTTTGCTATACAATAGAAAAAAGTTGCTGCTCTTATGTTCTTAGAGGAGCCCTGAAGACCCTGGAATACCTGTATCCTGCAACTATTAATCTGTACCACGTGCATTTCCTGTTTTGTACACAAACTGAAAGCAAGCTTGAACAATAGTAAATAGCAACTACACTCCTGCAACAGGTAAAAATGCCACATTGCAGCTGCTTACTCCTTCACTTTAGATATGTAGTCAGCCAGTTTGTTGATACTATCCTCTTGCTGTTCTAGAGCATCCAGTATGATGCCCATTGGGGTCTTCTTCAAGCCTATTCCTTCCATCTTGTTCTCCAGCTTGTTCTTTATGTTCCGGAGCCTCAGAGAAGCATGGACGAACATCACTGCATGACAGAAACACACTTATTAATTAATTGTTAATGCCCAAGGAATGCATAGTTCTTGCAGCGTTCATCTTAAGACACACTCCAATGCTGTGACATCACCGGAAGAAGATGAAGTCTCACTGACCGCTTAAGTTAACCACAGGTACCCACTTAATAACAACACTGAAGATGGCTTGTGCTGTTTTGTGTCCCCTCCCCTGAAATTGTGTTTTGGGATCATTTAACTAGACATAGTAAAGACAACAGCCAATTTAGACTCTGCAGACTTATTTGAGAAAGCTCAAGTCACATGTCACTAGCCCCCCAGAGAAGAGGAAAACTACTTACAGAGGAGAGGAAGCGTGATCCCAAACATGAACACCATGACATCTCCCAGATAGGAGATCAGGAAGTAGCTAGACAGCATGATGACCACTACAAATGTGGTTGGATACTGCTTCTTCAGCCTGCGGAGTATATCCTTGTTGTGTGATACCCACACAAACCCCATGAACACGAGCACCACCACAGCACCACCAATAAGCATATTCAGGGGACTCAGAAACCTGGAGAGAAGAGAGGGGAAGAAAAAAAGAAAAAAAAAAAGTGTCCCATTTCAGAGCCTTCACGACTTGTGTCCATATAGCAAACACCTAGCTCGCTGGTCATTTGTTTACTAGGGAGGTAAGGCATTAAGAATTCAGTTGTTGCTGTCAAGATCTTTATCAACTTCTGATTTTTAGGTAGAAGCTAAATAAAGCAACAAGTGCAACAGACCAAGCAAC